GTGCCTGAATGCAAAGAATAATTGCAGATTTGACAATGCAAAAGAGTTTGTTGAGCAACATATATTTGGATTGATAGCGTCTCAATCATATATGACCGCGGTTACTTTGTTAGAGCACTTCTCTATCCGCCAGTCTGGCCAATCGTTTCTCCTTCGTATGATAGAAAGCGGTCAATTGAAAGCAGCAGAAAAGTGGGCAACATTCATGGGAAAGCCAATGTTGTGTATTCTTGTCCGGGAGTACTTCGGCAGAAACATGCTAAAAAATGCTTATGACATTATACAAAAAAACAATCTCCGACATGAATTTCCTGATGTTTATCATAAGTACAAAGAGAGGTAATTTTTTATGTTCATATTTCTGCGTGGTATCAAATTAATTTATTTTCTCCTTTTCTTTTCCTTCAATAAATTCTATTTGTTAGTCTTGAATACTTATTTTTCTTAAAATAATAAGAGTTAATCATAAACTTTCAGCACTTTAAAGAAATTAGCAGAAAAAGGTTGCTGGGAAGTTGCAGAAGCAAGGACAAACAGTAATAGGCAACTTCTTGAATATTTGGTATGTAGCTTTTGGAAAAGATCATGTTTCCGAAATCCATATGTGTATGCTTTCGTGTGTGAATGTACGCTTGGTTGCATTCTTAGCTTTGCGATTATAGTGATACGTAACTACTATTTAAATTAGTTAGACTCTTTTGGTATCACAATTAATTTCTTTTCTTTATTTCGAAGGTTTACTTGGCAATGGAAGCTGGTTACTCAGAGAAGGTTGATGAGCTATGTGATCGATACTCGCTTGAAGGTTTCTCGAATGGAAAAGGTATAACTAACGTTACTTAAACTGTCGTGTCATCATGCTTGCATTTATCCATACGGAATTATTTTTCTGGAGTTAGTGCAGTGAAGCTGTCAATCTGGGCAACCTTGCTTTAGCAGAACTAGTAGTTATGGTTTTTCTAGTAATTAAAGACAATTTATGAAGATAGCAATTCAAAGTTATGGATTTTATATAATTTTGTTTAATCTTTTATATAGTACCCAAGGCAAGTCTTCTCGAAAATCGCTATTTGCATCTCAATCAGTTGGTTATAGAGGGTGTTGTTTGGGTTGATGAAGCTGATGCCTTGCGTAATGCTACCTCTCACTTTGAGGGATGCAAAGTTGTGGGTCTTGATTGCGAATGGAAACCGAACTCTTTAAAAGGCAGCAAACCGAGCAAGGTAATTAGGTCATATTGATTTTCATTCTTTGCTAGACTTCAATTTTCTATTTTTTGCCTTTTTGGCTTCTCATATTTCCAAATACTTATTCGTAAAAACAATCTCATAGTCCACATGCTTTGTTTTGTTCAAGTGTTTTCTCTGCGTTTCAGGTTTCCATCATGCAAATTGCTTCTGAAAAAAAAGTTTTCGTCGTAGACTTGATCAAGTTATCTGCTGACGTTCCTGAGGTCCTGGATGACTGCTTGACTCGCATTCTGCAATCTCCTAGGATTCTGAAACTCGGTATGAGAAATTGTAATACAATAGGCGAATTAGAGCTTTCTTTACGATGTACATACATGAAATAAACTGGAAATTAAGCATGGCTATGAATTATGCTCCTTGTAGGCTATAATTTTCAGTGTGATATGAAGCAGTTGGCTCATTCGTATGGAGAGTTAGAGTGTTTCAAACACTACGAAATGTTACTGGACATCCAGAATGTTTTCAAAGAACCTAGCGGTGGTCTCTCTGGGCTTGCAAAGGTAACAGAAGCACGAAATTGAACATACTACAATCTTTTCTTTGTCTCTGTTGATCTATCTTTTTGCATTCTAATGCTCATTACGTGCAATTTACTTTGCGTGTGCTGCATCAGAAAATACTGGGAGTTGGTTTGAACAAGACTAGAAGGAATAGCAATTGGGAGCAACGACCTTTGACGCCCAATCAGGTAGTTTTTGTACATATTGAACTTTAACTATTTATAACTCGAATGAGGTATAAAATTGCTTTCGGAGCATGCTGAAGGGTTGAAATCCTCCTTCCATTGTTGAGTGAGGTATTACTCAATCGCGGTTGAAGTTTTAGGATCTGACACGATTTATTGGTTGAGCCACACATCCAGTTGTTGAGTTCAAATAAACTAGTGCCATATTCTTGTGCAGCTGGAGTATGCAGCTCTTGATGCAGCTGTTCTGATTCACATATTTCGCCACGTTCACAATCATTCCCAGGCTGCCGAGGGAGGAAAACTCGAGTGGAAATCCTGCATCGTAAGTGCAGATACAAAAACTTATCCGATTGATTGTACTCATGCATGAACATTTCTTCATTAAACCATCTATATGTTGTATTAATATACAGGTTTCCCACATGGATAACAAGAAGGCGAAGAAGGGGAGTCGAAAGGATTCATCAGAAGCTGAGACAATGGAAGAACAGCAACTTAATTAGCCCCGTCGCGTTTTCCCTTTGTCATTGGATTAGTTTGTAATCACCTGTAAATTTATCCATTTGGTCAAATGAGATGGTGTTTAATCATAGATGATGGTCTAAATATTTCCACATTTGCCTTTAGTTTTCAAAATTTAATCTCTTCCACTGTGTGATATGCTAAGAGACTCATTTGCTTTGCCTTAGACCAGAAAATTCAAAATTGGTAGGCCGAATATGGTTCCTTGGGTCCATCTTCTGTGCAATTGTGCACGACTATATGATCTTCGTACTGCATTTTTCTCACTCTGCACGCTCTTGTTTAGTTACGTCCTTTTATTTTTATTTTTTTTTATTTATTCAATTCAAAAGTTAGAGATAAACATAGATGTGTAAGTGAGAAAAGAGGTGCCCAAAAAATCACTTTCCTTGTGCACATCCTTCCAACAATAAGAAATTCTGGAGTCCGGCAAGTGGACTAGGTCACCCATTTGGTCACATAGCTGAGACCTTCCATGTATTTGGGTCTCCCTCGCTTATATGATGATCTCATCTCATAGTGCGGAGAAGGATTTGGATGGAACAGGTACACTACTATAATGACGTTTTACTTCAACGACACAATATTATGTGGAATCAAATTAATGTGACATTGTATTACTGGACTGAGACACTACCATAACGGTGTACTCATCCAAGTTGCTCTCCTCATTGTATGGGGGGCCGCAGGGGTGACGTGGTGTGGACCAAAGAATTTCTTATAAACAACCCAAAACAAAGCAACGATTTTTCAACCGATTGGGATTTGTAATGTGAAGGAAGTGGGGTGTGTAAACTATTTGTATCACTAATCTTGTTTAATATAACAAATCAATATTACTCTCCAGGGGCAGGACAGTAATAACGTTCAACCATCTAAATTTACTTAGGTTGGCCAACAAAATCCCAACCGGAAGTTCAACCATCTTAACCACCCTTTAATATTTAAGAAGGCAAAAATAAAATCCTAATAATGCACATAATTAACCGGCTGTCTCGTAGTTTCTGAGCTATCTCCCTCTCCCTCTCTCTCACGAAAAGATTCAAAGAGAAATCTTTTCAGAGAGGGAGAGAGAGATGATGGAGGAGATTCGATACCGTTCGTATGTAACTGCTGACTGCCGGAACAACCTAGAGATGGTGAACGTAAGGAGGTTAAGCGAAAACCAGACAATGTACGTGGGGAGGTCACATTTTCATCCGTCATGGGATCCGAATCCCCCCATGAAAATACGACAATGCAGCGATCTTCAAGTGCGGGTCGGGGGGACGAAGGCGAGGAAAGAGAGATCGTCGTCGACGAAGTCGTTGAAAATGTGGTGGAACGATCCGGAGATTAAGAGAAGAGGACGAGTGGCTAGGTATAAGTTGTATGGTGCCGAAGGGAAGGTCAAGAGGTCGTTGAAGAAAGGATACCGTTGGTTCAAGAAGAAATGTCTCGAGATTGTACGTACCATTTGAAACACTTTGATCGGTTTGAAGACATTGAAAGCTTAAATGTTCAAGTTTTTCATTCAATTCGTGTACGGATGGTGTACGTACGTTTGTACGTACATACGGCATCTATTCTACGTATGTACAAGTTTTTCATGATTGCAAATTTGCATGGATGCAATGGAAAAGTTGTACCCCTTTGAGATTCAACCTTCTTACCTAATTTATGACCAAAAAAATCCCTTTAATTTGTTTAAAATTTGTAATATATTGTTGAATTACTGATGTCTTGTTGTATCTTATTGATTTCCATACCGTATTAGCTTTTTTATACATTTTTTTTTTCCAAAGTGATTTCCGCACACAATTTTACTTCCTATGCAGTATGCGCACTCAGGCTCATGCTTATATATGACTTCTGGATCACATAAATAGAAAAATCAAGGGATAATTTTAAATCGAGTGTGCATAAAAAGAAAAACGATTGAGAAAGAATCATTTTCTTTGTTTTATAGAATTTGGATTGAAATAGTGAAACAAAAATTACCAAACACAAATAAGCGTATTTGATTACAATATTTACATGTATTTAATACCATTTTTTTTTTTCCAAAGTGATTTCCGCACACAATTTTACTTTCTATGCAGTCTGCGCACTCAGGCTCATGCTTATCTATGACTTCAGGATCACATAAATAGAAAAATCAAGGGATAATTTTAAATCAAGTGTGCGTATAAAGAAAACGATTGAGAAATAATCGTTTTCTTTGTTTTATAGAATTTGGATTGAAATAGTGAAACAAAAATTACCAAACACAAATAAGCAGATTTGATTACAATACTTACATGTATTTAATACCATTATTATTTTGATGGTCAGATGTTGGTTGTATTAAATATATATATATATATATATTCACATGAATTATTCTGACTGTCAGATGATGATTATATTAATTACATAAATTATTCAAAATTAAGAAAAAAAAGTGTACAGAAATCACTAGGGCCTACAAAATTTTATGAAAAAAATGACCCACTCTGCTTTTAATTGGGCCTTTTGAAGGCCCATAATCGTGTATAAAGCCTTCTCGCCGTCCCCTATATAATCGACCGCCGGCAAATTTTTAGGTTTCAAAGCAAATTTGGCGCGGGAGATTAAGCAAGCCTTCAATTCCAATCAACCAAAGAGATTAATCAACAGAAGGAAGGAAGAAGAATGGACGGTCACGATCTGGAAGTGGAGAAGGCTCGATTGCTGAGCTTAGCTCTCGATTCCGGGTTCGATGAAGAATCGGCGAACAAGTGCTTGGATCGTCTGGTCAATCTCTACGGTACTCATTTGCTCCTCCCCAAATCCCATTTCGGTTTCCGTAATTATTATTTTTTGTGAAATTCCTAATTCGAATAGAATAAAATAAATTATATGGGTGCATAATTTTGTGGGTTTTGTTTTTTTGTTTAATTTAAGTGGGAAATCGAAGTGGGTTTTTGGAATTTTGAGATTTTGTGCTGTTTTGGTAGAAATGCGATTGGATTATGCTGCAACAACAAGCATTTTTCTTAATTTTCAAGTATTTATGCTGTTGGGTAATAATTTTCAGTTATAATTATGATTAGATTTTATCATTTTAGTAATTGTGATTAAAATTTCGACCAAATTACTGTTGGGTCATCATGTTCTTTGATCTTGTGTTTAGGTGACGATGGCCTGGATTTTATTACCGTGGAGCACTGCGGCGATGATTATCTCACGGCGCTGGCGGAATCTGTGCAAGACACGGAAGAATGGGATGATATACAAGCAATGGAATCTGAAGCTTGTGGAGCTTTGAGTAACATGTTTGGGAGAGACATTCCGAATGGCGTCGAAGTAGATAATGATGGAGACAATATCAACATGGTAGAAGATTCACCCGAACGTGAAGAATACCCAAATTTTATGGTGTTGGATTCTAGTGATAGTGAGGAATTAGAGTTTAGAACTCCAGTGAGAAAAAATGTTGGATCGAATCCCTCTTCAGTGGTAAGACCTAGTTCATTGTTAGTCATGGCTACATCGTCTTTAATGTTTGAGGAACTATAATTTTCAAGATAGTGAATTTGTTTGTGTTGGAAGGATTGCAAAAGCACCATTAGTCGAGATTCAGTTCCAACAATTTCTAGTAAGAAGCAGTGCACCCGAGTGTCAAAAGATGAAGTGAAAACTCTTAGTTATGAAGAATTACAGGCTTTGGATGATGCTGAGCTAGCCAATGTTGTAATATTTGGTAATAGGGTATTTCGACCCTTGCAGCATCAAGCATGTAAAGCGGCTATGGAAAAGCGAGATTGCTTTATCCTAATGCCTACTGGAGGGGGCAAAAGCTTGTGTTACCAGGTTTCTTCTCTTACAGCTATAACTGCAACACTTTGCTTAGTTGATCTGTTTGTAATCTTGAAAGTTGTTATGATTCATGACTCGTTCAAGTCACTGATTTTATTTATATTTCGGTGTTTTGCACAGCTTCCAGCGACCCTGAAACCGGGTGTGACAATTGTTGTATCTCCACTGCTTTCCCTTATTCAGGATCAGATAGTAACGCTGAACCTCAAATTCGGTGTACCAGCAACTTTTTTGAATTCTCAACAAACCGCTTCCCAAGCAGCGGCTGTCCTCCAAGAGCTCAGGTAAGGTTTTTTGTTTTCTTCTCTTTTCTGTGGACGATAAAATAAGGAACTTTTCTTGTTCTTTAAGCAGAAAGTTTCTCCTTACAAATTTCACTTATACCTTATTTACAACTGACAAGAACTGTTTGTGGGGGGTTGCATGCATGATTGTTATTTTCTTAAGATATGCTTTTGATTGTTTCTTCGGGCAATTTGTTTCCAGTAATAATTTTTCACACACCATATGATTATTATTGTTAAATTTATATCTTAGATTATTTGATTACCTGATGATTCGTCTGTTATGTTTATGTTTCATTTTCTTGTTTCCAGGAAAGATAAACCATCATGCAAGCTTTTGTATGTGACTCCTGAGAGAGTTGTTGGTAACCCTACTTTTCTTGATGCCCTGAAATGCCTGCATTCAAAGGTGAGGTTTCTAAGGTTACTGACTGATTGTACTGTTACCATGAATGCTTGCATCAGATTTTAAAAACTTTTATGTATCAAGCTTAGATAGTGCTTGGACTAAATCACAGGGGCAGCTAGCAGGATTTGTTGTAGATGAAGCGCACTGTGTAAGGTATGTCCTGTGTTTTGTTACTCGTATGCATGTTTGTTTTGGTTATAGTTGAATTCTTTCCAGCATTATCAGGGGAGTTTTAGCTTGGGGGCTGTCCACCTTCTGGTGGGTAGCTAAAGTGGTTAGGTCATGTTACAAATGTCTGGTGTATGGGTCACTACTCATCATATGAATTTTTTTTACGGTGTTCTTAAACAAACCACATCAAGTTATGCCACTCTTATTATACTATCTAATAAGAGTGTTTTGGTAATAATTCTTTATATTCTTCATCATGCTTCGCAGCCAATGGGGACATGATTTCCGTCCAGATTACAGGGGATTAGGATGTCTTAAGCAGATATTCCGTGATGTTCCAGTGATGGCATTAACTGCCACAGCAACTCATTCTGTTCGTGAGGTAGGATGATTTTCAGAGTGAATTTGTTTCTGCTGTATGTTCTGAAGTAAAAATGCTTGTATGGATGCATTGCAGGACATTTTAAAAGCTTTAAGAATTCCACATGCTCTTGTCCTCGAAAGAAGTTTTGACAGGCCCAACTTGAAATATGAAGTCATCGGTAAGACCAAGGAATCACAGAAGCAGCTTGGAGAGCTACTGAGGAGTCGTTTCCAAAACCAGTCCGGAATTGTATACTGCCTTTCAAAAAGTGAATGTGTTGAGGTATCCAAATTTTTGAATGAAAAATTTAAGATCAAGACAGCATATTATCATGCTGGGATTGCTGCTCGCCAAAGAGTTGCTGTGCAAAAGAAATGGTACACAGGAGAGGTTCAAATCGTATGCGCCACAATTGCTTTTGGGATGGGAATTGACAAACCGGATGTCGTAAGTCCTATTAACCTTTGCATTTTCTTTCTCCGACTCTTTTATGTGATTTTGAAAGTACTGATCTGGTCATTTGGAAACCTGCACTTTGTGTTGAATGATCCCTTTATTCCCTTTTCCTTTTGTACAGCGTTTCGTTATCCACAATACGATATCCAAATCAGTAGAAAGCTATTACCAAGAATCTGGAAGGGCTGGTAGAGATGATCTTCCTGCAGTATGCATTGTCCTATACCAGAAGAAGGATTTTAGCCGGGTTGTATGCATGTTACGTAACGGTCAAGGATGTAGGAGCCAAAGTTTCAAGACATCTATGGCTCAAGCTCAGAAAATGCAAGAGTACTGTGAATTAAAGGTTAGAAACTTCAAAAAATCAAGTGATTAATTCGTAACGAAAGACGTATAATCTAGCTTTTTTATATAATCATGTGCACTTATGGAAAATGTGGTCGGTTTCTTTGGTTTGATGATTTTTCAGACTCAATGCCGGAGACAAATGCTACTCAAACACTTCGGAGAGTCTTTTGATGAAAATGCCTGCAAGTATGGTTCCAATCCTTGTGATAACTGTGTCAAGGCTTCCTCTCGAAGATGAATGCTTTCTGTCACGTGATGAAGGAGATAGGAAGAGCGATGATTATCCCGGGTGTATGTAAGTTATTCTCCGAGGCAATGCTTTATTATTTGACCTCGGGCGAGTTCAATTATTACTCTGCCAACTTTATATCTTTGTCACATCGACTTGGTTTTCTAGTAGTCAAGGGAAAATGAATTAAGATTTTGATTAAATCTAAGATCTATGATTAAGACTAAGATCTAAAAAACCATAAAGAATTAGTTAACAAATGGCACATGCAATCATTAGTGATTAACAGATTGTTTACGTGCTGCAAAATAGTTAGCATTAGCAAACCTCATTAGAGTCTTCTAGATTATGACATGTTAACAACCCTACGTAATGTGTTTCATGTGGGACTTATTCTGTCTGCAAGTCATTCCCATCTAAGGTCTCTTAGGCTAGTTTGGGGTTATTGTGTTGTTTTTCAAAATAACGTCTGCTGTGCTGTGAGAATAAAGAGCGGTGAAAAACAATTTAGTAAACTATAGTGCTGACAGTGCTTTAGCAAAAGAAAGATGGGAGGTGAGATTGTCAATATAAAACTTACCTGCCTCCAATGAAAAAAGAAAACATTTTTTTTATTTACTAAACACAATTAAGGCCCTAACTTTTTTAAAAAAGCTGCTTTTAAGAGCATGTAAGCAATCCCAAACTAGTTTTTAATCACCTATTCTCTATGTAGGTATTGACGTTTTAAACTAATCATGCAACGTTGTATGAGAAAATTAAAATACATGATGACCTTAATATATCTTTGAACGTTCCATCACCTACTTCAGAGATCCCTCCTAAAATATTTTTGAAATATAAAAGTTCAAACCCAGATCCTTTCCACCACCTACTGCCTGAATTATTTAATTCCTAAGCTCAAATTTTTTAAATCCGAAAAAGATCTGGATTCTAAAAGTTCATCTCATATCACGCAAGTCTTAACGTAAATGATTTAAAACATCGTCATTTTAACACCCTATTTGGTGCGAGTCTCTCCCACGTGAAAGGTATTTAAGTGAAGATATCAATATCTTGGATGGTGACGCCACCAGATCCAAAGAGGACAAATGAAAACCAACTTCATTGGCCAAATATTGTATTTTATTATTTTTAAAAAGGAGACTTTTAATTTTGAAGGAAAGGAGAGTGGACGCTTTTGCATGGAATCTTAACGAGCAGCAAGAAAAAGATTTGAGATGGCAACACCCCTTAAATTATGGAAAATAATGTCACCGTCCAAAAATATAATTATATTTATGCCCTTTAAGTTTCAGGTGTTTTTCAAAATTGGCTGCGAAGTTTCAAATAATTTTTTTTGTACCAATTTACACATTTTGTTTCTTTCTACGTATAATCATTCGCTATGTGTATGAGGTTTTGTTTGTCTATGTGGTGCAAATGTAATTTAAATGTTAACTTATATAAGGTTCTCAAGCTCGGTACATCATTAATTTAATGAATTATCCTACAGTCAATCGTATTGAATACGCAAATTGATATAATTCAATACCTTAAGGTGCAATATAAGAAAATTAAAACCTTGTAAGCCATTTTGCAAATAACGCGGATCAATATAATATACCCAAAGAAAAAGAAGGGAAGAGATTGAAGAAGGGGAGAGCTATAAACAAAATCCATCTTTGTTCTTTTTTGTCTGTTACATAAAGTTTCAATTTTTAAGAGTGGGTGAGACAGTCTACTTAATTCGGTTGTTGAACACAAGAATTTCTCCCAAACAAAAGTGAAGCGTTGATAAAAAGGAGCAAAGTAAATCATCGTAACTTCATCAAACGTGAAATTTGACCATAATTTATGGATCACTAAAACCCTTAAAACGCATAAAAATTCACATTTATGAACACCTGGAATGTAAAAATGGAACAAAAAAGTTACTTAATACTACAATCTAATGATATTTTTCTTCATTTGTAAGTGAGAAGTCTTAGGTTCGATTATCACTAAAGGGCGAATTTGAACCACATTAATATTAGCCTATTATGAGATTAAGTTCATATTTTCTCTCTTAATGTAGATAATATTTTTTGTTAAACAAAAAAAAAAATAATAGAACAAAAGAAAGAAAGCCGGTTTGATTTTGAACTCTCTCGGCAATTCCCCAAAGTAGGGTCGAAACCGACGACTTAAAAATTGGAGTGATTTGAACCTTCGATCGATCTGGCATTAAAGGTAGGGCCCAAAACCATCAATTTATGGTCACGTGGCATGACCGCATACGCAGTGGCACATGATTTACCCTTAAAAAATATAAATAAATAAATAATAAATAACCAAAATAAGAAAGTGGTGCTATTCACAATTTATTTATTTATTTTTTTCCGTTGGATAGTTCCTTGTTAATTTTTATTTTTTTAATTCATTCGATTCGATTGTCTATTTTATTTAGTGACGTTCTAAGATTCATATAATCAATTTTAAGAAAAGATTTTATTTTTATTGTTTTATTTGATTTGATTCTCGAAAATTGAAATACAGAGTGGAACGAAAAAATGGGTTTGTAAACCCATAAGAAAAGGAGCGGAATTTTCGCAAGCTTTGGACTCATCAGCCACTTAGCAGCTCTCTCTCTAACAGCGGTTTGTTTTCTTCTTTCTTCTCCCGATTCCTTGTTCAGTGATAACGTCTCTTCTTCTCTCATTTCAAACTCTCTCTCTAACTTTCTCTTTCTCTCTCTCCCAGTGTCTGCAAATTCCCTTCTGATTTTTCTCAAGTTTGACACTTTTCCTCTGTTGCATTCTCAAAGACTCTCTCTCTCTCTCTGTTGCTGAAATTTAAAGACTATTTTCTTACTCTCAAAACCCAAATGATTTTGCTGCTCTACGCTTTCAGATCTTCAATCTTTTTCTCTACTCCCGATTTTTCTTGTTTTTCATCAAGAACATTGGTCCAAAAATAGAAAAAAAGAGTTGGGGTTTGGAAATGTGGGTTCTTGGGTAAGGTGAATGTGGTTCATTTGACTCAAGGTTTACTCATTCGACTGAAGCTTGGTCTGCGTGCTTGAATCTTTGGTTGCTGAGTTCGGAAGCGTCGGATTTGAGTGATTTGGCTCTGTCTACAGAAGGAAAAAGAAGAAAAAAGGAGTGAACTTCGGAGTGTGTAAAAATGGGGTTCTGCAGATGAAGGATTTCAGGTGAGACTTTGATTGAAAAGATTAGAGATTTGTGCTTTCTATTGATTTTAAAGGGTACCCATTTGCTTTCTATTGATTTAGTGGTATAATCCGATTTTGTGGTATTGATTTAAAAAATGCTTGTACATTTTAAGCAAATGTTGAAACTTTAGGAGTGTAATTTTGTTTTTTCAATTTGTCAATAAGTAATGTAGATAAGTTTTAGGTCTTAATTTATGCTAATTAGTTGTTAGTATTGTTATATTTGAATACCTTTGCACATTTATGGTTCAAGCATTTTGGTACAGATTGCCACATGGGTTCTGTTTAAGTGATCCATTTTGCTTGAATCCCAGGCTCCGATAGGTCTGTGGAAGACAAAAATGGAGGTTGAGAAGAAACGTTCTAAAGGGGGCTTTCTTAACTTGTTTGATTGGAATGGAAAATCTCGGAAGAAGCTCTTCTCGGCCAGCTCTGAATCATCGGGTAGATATATTTTCAATTTTACTTATTTTTTGGTGTATATCTTGCTTATTGATCTGCAAGTGGCGGTCCTTAGTTATGCATTGTGTTTAACTTATGCCATTTTGACTGTAAAGGATTAAAGCAAGGAAAAGAAAATGTGGAGAGTTTCCAGAACTCAGGGCTCTGTAGGGTAGGCAACGATCCTCTACCCTCTTATGTTGGTCGTACTAGTGTTTGTCTTTCATGTGATGAAAGTATTGAGAATCTGCGTTTTTACTTGTTATACGATTGGGATATTTTCAGGTAGAGGTGGATGAAAGTGGAACTGGAACCACTTCAAGTAATAAAGGAAGTGGTGAATGGAATTGTGCTTCATCAGTGACTAGTGATGAGGGATCTAAGGCTAGAGCCCCTGGTGTAGTTGCTAGATTAATGGGTCTGGATTCATTGCCTGCTTTAACTGCCCCCGACCCCGAGCCATCTTCTGCCCAACTCTTTGACTCCCAGTCGCTTAAAGCATCTCAATATGAGAGGAGCGGTCGTAATTTGTGGAGTGATTTGTATTCCATGGAGTACATAAATGTGCCAAAGAAGCTGGATAGGTTTTCTTGGAATCTTGTAGAGCCTAGGACACAGGGGGTGCCGAGCCACCCAATTGAGAGATTTCAAACAGAAGCTTTGCCTCCAAAATCAGCTAAGTCAATTCCAGTTACTCATCATAAGCTTTTGTCGCCTATCAAGAGTCCTGGCTTCATTCCACCAAAAAATGCAGCTTATGTAATGGAGGCGGCCTCAAAGATCATTGAGGCAAGTCCTCGAGCATCTGCCAGGAGCAAAATGTCATCTGTAGGGCCTTCTTCGATTCCCTTGAGAATTCGGGATTTGAAAGAGAAGATGGAAGCTGTGCATAAAGCATCAGGACCTGAAAGACCCAAGGAAGCTAGTGACTTCAGGTATATGAAAGGACTGCCTAGTGACAGGCGCCATAACGGGTCAGATAATGTACCAGTAGCCAAGGCTTCTGTGGATTCAGAAAAACAAAGTTACAGGGATGTGAGGAATAAGGGAAAATCAGTATCCCTTGCAGAACAAGCAAAGGTCAACATTCAGAAAGGGGAGGGGTCGACATCTTGTCGTAATAGAAGTTTTATGAACCAGAAGGAACAGAATGAGGTCAAACAAAATCAGTTTTCCAAGAGCAAGTCAAGTACACAAAGATCTACGCATAAGAGAACTTCCATTGAGAGCGCCAGAACTGCGCTCAAGCAGAATAACCAGAAGCAGAATTGTGTATCTAACAGAGATAAAATGACTTCAAAAAGTATGGTTCCTAATCAGCCTACTAGAAGAATGCGGCCACCTAATGGCTCTACTGGGCCAATGAAAACTGTGAATAAGACTATTGGAAGCTCTGAAATTGGATCCAGAAAGTTGGGCTCAAGGGCGACTGCAAATGGAAAAGAGTTTTCGTTATCCACAAGAAAGAATGTTTCTGGAAAGATAAGGTCCGTTCATCAGGATGATTATTCGGAAGAAACTGTTTCCAACGATTCATATATCGGTGGAGATGAAAGGTCAGTGAAATGTAATGTTTCAAGGAACGGGTGTTCCAATTTGGGCACAGATAATAGGAACCAAGGCATGGATGTTATCTCATTTACATTCACGTCTCCCCTGAAAAGATCATTCTCTGAATTGCAGTCACCTGGTCAACTCACAAGTATAAATAACAGCTTTTATATTGATTCTTCTGCTCACAACGATCAGCAGTTCCATCCAGAGAATTTCACATTATCTTCTCCTGGGTTGAATGTGATTGGGGGTGATGCTTTGAGTGTCCTTCTGGAACAAAAGCTTCAGGAACTGTCTTGTAAAGTTGAGTCATCTCAGCGTAACCAATCCAGTGAAGTGACTTCTGGTACTTCTATGTCTTGCTTGCAAGATATGGTTTCCAGTGTGGGAAGCACTACATCAGGAGGCAAGGGGTTCAAAGTTGGTTTAACCAAAGATAAAACTGACAGCACAGACGACTATGATTGCTTGTCAGTTGAGGTTAACCAGCAGTGGCAGGTTAGTTTCTTCTGTATATAGATTTTTCCTTTTGCAGCTTCTGTTTTATTCTTAATGTTCTTGACTAGTGATTTTTCGCCCTTGGTTTTTCATGATCGATCATGATCGAGTGAAAAGGCACTTCAGATGTTTGGGGGGCTCATCTGTTGTTTGTGCTAGGACACGAAATCTAATGCATGGACTAGTTATACTAACTAAATGAAACAATATTGATAATTGAAGCAAATTATTCAGCATATGGATGAATATTTGGGATGTGGATAGGCCCCGCAGATAATGTAATTAGTAAAACCAGATACGGTGTTAAGTGACAGAAACCACTGTAATTTAGTTTGTTTTATAGGCATCTAAAATATAGGTCGTCTTAAGATATGAATCCGTGCTTCAAGTGAAGCTTCTGTATTAAAATTCAAATTCCACTACGGCAGGGTGAAAATATTTTTGAGAGATCGATGACAATATAAGCAATCAAGATATGGTAGTCTGTATTTGATCCATCTTTGTGAACACGATTCACATTTTATAAATATTTGAAATTTTGGATAAAATTCTTTCACTGTGGTCCCATTAATCTTTTCAATAGCTGCGTTATTTTAAATCTGATTTTACGTTATGAAGATTTACTCACCATGCTAGTCAAATTCTCTTAAACAATTTCAGGGATCAGAAGGGGTGGAAGAGTGTAGCAGTAGCAGTAGAAACATTACAACTGGAAATGAATTTGATCGACGTCGTAGTCCATTGTCAATTGTTGAACACTCATTTGAGAGTCGAACCTGCACAGATAACAGAAGTAGCGCCAATGGTACAACAACAGTCTTCTTTTCTATATCTTCCTTTTCCAGTACATACATTCATAACAATGTCTTAGATCTAAGTGTCAGATTAAAAGAGTTGTTTTGCACTGTGAATATCTTCAAATTTGCTCAGTAGTCAGTACCATCAAAGAATAGCCAAAAACCTAGTGAACCAGAGAAAATATGAAAGATCTATTCAACGGTTATGTATATGCAAGAACGTGAACTACACAGCTTTGAGAATTTCTATGTCAGTTGATAGTCTTGCATAGTAAATTAGAGAAGACAAGCTTAGTGGAACCTCTTGTAAGACTCGAATCGCCCCCTCCCCCTTTCGATCTCCATTGTACCAAAAAGGAAAAAGGAAACCTCTTTATATGATTTAGGCACTATGTTATAACGAAACATACACATGTTCTTGTGATAGAAAAATGACTTAACATGCGTGCAATGCTCTCCGTTTACAGGCAGTGACAGTGAGAGATGTTCATTGGCTCAACTTCAAGATCAAGGCAGTTCACTCTCTTCATATGGCGTTTCAGAGTTCCTTGACTCAGCCTTTTCAGCTTCTACAGGGGATGTGAGTAGAAAGAGTACGAATATGATATCAAGTTCGCATTCAAATGATTGGGAACTGGAATATGTGAGATACGTGCTTAGCAATGTAGATCTGGAGATGGAAGATTTCGCCTTGGGTGATGCTCAACACGTCATCACCCCAAGTCTCTTTGAGCATTTGGAGAATCAAGAACAAGAAGAATATCTGAAGCTCGAGCAGAAGATTGTGTTTGACTGCGTAAATGAAGCCCTGCAGTTCAGATGCAAGCAAATATTTGTGGGAAGCCGCAAAGCCTGGGATAGATTGACCGCATTGTCTCAGAGGAAGGGACGATTAGCTGAGGAATTGCACAAAGAGATTTCGGGTTGGAAAAACATGAGAGAGCTGATGGGGGATGAGCTTGTGGACAAGGACATGAGCACGCAGCGTGGAAGATGGCTCGACTTTGAAGTTGAAGCGTTTGAGGAGGGTCTAGAGATTGAGAAGGGGATACTAAATTGCCTGGTGGAAGAGTTGGTGTCTGATTTTTTCTTTTAGGCCCTCTTTAAGTTTGCCTTGTATTAACTATTTAGCTTGTGCATACTACAAAATTTTACTATATTTCGGTGTATGACATGCACCAAGACAATCGATGGCTGAACATGTGGTTAAAGTTCTAATGGAAAATTACCACTGATGCATACTAGAAAATTCTCCTACTGTCCTGATTTGCCAAATCGAGGGAAATTTAACTAAACTTCTCACATTAAGGTACTATTGTTCAAAACTTATCACGTGTCATGTATGTGAACTCTAAAATATCTCAATAACATCGCATTATTGGTTTAAGATATTGTCATCTTGTCGTCTCGGTTTTATGTAAATCTTAGTTTTACCGCTAAGATTCCATTCGCCTGGATACTACTAACCAGAGATTTTGGCTTGGTGTGAAGTTTGAGTGAGACCTTGTCAGGGATTTTGTCCAATTAGTGGAACCATGTGATTCTGGTTCTAGTTTTGCTAATGGTACCAATCTGACTCCCAGCACTGGTCCAATCTCAAAGTCGAAATTACTAAACTCCCCAAGTGATATATTCAACCCTACTGAGGAGAAGAACTTACTAGGGGCATTTGGAACATGTGATCTGTAAGGAAGCTTTTACAAATCAGATAGACTGTATTGTTATTAAGGAACATTCTTAGGTGCTCCGGAGGATTCAGTACTTCGGGAGTTTTAGTCGTTAGATCTTTGTTTAAAAATACAAAAATCAAGATCTAACGGTTAAAACACTCGGAATATGTACTCGAGCACCTAATAATTTTTGTTGTTACTAATTCATCACTTGACAAGCGTTTGCTGGACGGGTGGTATACCTTTTGAACACGTGATAAACATCCATTAGACGAGTGACGGCACTAGAATAACGTATTGGTTGCAAGGAAATCTCTCCACAAATTGAAAAAAGTATGTGACCCTGTGTATTCTGGTCTCACTTGATTCACGTTGGTTCAACAGTGAGAATTGCTCTAATCAAGCAGCAACGTAACAGGTGACCTAAAATTGTTATAAAGTAGAAGAAAACATGTTGCTTCATTGCGGAATATCTTCTAACGTATACAACGTAACAAGTGTTATAAATACAAGAATATACATGTTCAGTTATAAGTAGATTCTCTTAAAAATTAGGAGAGAATATGTCATGTTAATGCTGAGTATAAACAGTCATGACCTACTCACACAAAGGCAATTGAAGATCAAGGGTAGTACTAAACAAATGAGGTAAAATTAGATTTGTCAATTTTGTGCACGATTCGTTAATTAGACACAAAAATATAAAATTTTAGATCAATACGTTAACTAATTGAATCGTTATCAAGTCACTCGTTACCAGACCTACCCGTTGGTAACCCCGTAAAATGAATTAAATTCTTTCCTTTTATTGTTTAACCACAAACAGAAATCGAGTAATGTAAAAACAGTAAAAAAAAAAAAAAAAAAATTTCAACCATGGCAAACCAACTGGCCTAGCCTTCAACTGCATTTCTTACCTCCATTGAGGGGGACAAAGGCTAGCTGTGTAGGTCAATTGTCAGAACATGTTCCGAAAACTTCATCACATTGAATTAAAGATTCATTCATTGATTGATCTAGCTGTAGCTTGCTTCCAAGTTCAAGTGCTAGCTTAAGAAGTTAGTCGCCATAAGAGCAACTCCACCCCTATCCACTTTGCGCCAGCACCCAGCCCATTTATCCACTTAATTGAACAGTAACAGACTCAATGAATAGTAATAGGCCAAAGCATCTCCACCCCAAAAAAAAATGTGCTGGCACCTAGTCTAAAAATGCGCTGGCACAAACGATCTCCACCCCTACAAAATGCGCTGGCACCCAGTCCATTTAAAATATTAAATAATTTTTTTATAAAATAATAAAAAAAAATAGTTTTAATTTCGGATAGGATTTTTAACCAATCTCGTCACGCCACGTGTCATTATCCGAAAATATTGAAATGTGGTGTAAGGTGGAAGATGAGGGTTAGGTATTTATAGAAAAAAAAAATTAATTTTTTAAAATTTTTCTGTATTTTTTAAAAAAATTTTGACATTTTTTAATTAATTTTAATGTTGTAATTAATCTGGACCGTTGGATTTGAAAAATAATCAAATCCAACAGCCAACACGATGCCACGTGGCCAACGGTCAAATTTCTGACCGTTGGGCCTTTTTTTTTTTTTTTTTTTTAATTTTTGGTGAAATAAACGTGGACCGTTGATCTGTGATCGGACGGTCCAATTTAAAATTAAAATTTAAATTTTTTTTACCGTTGGAAATCCAACGGCCTACAAAAACTAGCCGTTGGAAATCCAACGGCTCTGAGGAGGGCCACGTAGCCCTCACCCGGATGACTGCAAGTTGCCCTGCACGCGGGCCCCACCGCCTGCGACACTGTCGGCTACTCGCGCCCAGTCGCGAGTGTCGTGCACGCGCCAGCCATTTGGACCGGCTTCTGGGTCTGTCCGAAATGGGCTGGCCTGCTGCCTGGCTTGGGCTGGGTGCCGGGCTGTGTCGCGGGCTGGAGCAAATGGACTGGGTGCCTGGCTGTTATTTGGACTTGGTGCTGGGCAAAAAAAGCTCCGGTGGAGCTGCTCTAAGCGAACTTCCGGGCCGAGATGCTATATAGGTTAAAGAGTAAATTGTAGCAATGGTTCTTTAACGATAATTAAATTATCTTTTAACTGAAAATTCATTATCATTGGTCCATTAACTCATCAAAATGTGTAGCTATGGTCCTTTTCGTCAATTTCGTCAAAATTTTGTCAAAATGAGTTATGTTGGAAAGACCATTGTTACAATTAGGTTAAAGTTGAGGGACCATTTCTCCAATTAGGTTAAAGTTGAGGAATCATTTCTCCAGTTGGATTAAAGTTGAGGGACCATTGGTAATAGATTTTTAGTTGAAAGACTATAGCTGCACGTTTTGATGAGTTGAGGAACCAATGCTAATGGATTTTTAGTTGAGGGACTATTGCTCCAATTAAGCTAAAGTTGAAGGACCATTGCTACAATTTACGCTAGGTTAAATTATGAAAGAATTGGTAATTTTTCTATTTTCAATACAATCGATATTGGAAGAGGAAATTTTGAAAACAGAATCTTGAATACAGAAATAAACGCTCTTAGTTACTTGAGTTGCAATTTTTTTTTTACTATAAATGATGATGAAAAAAAGTTGGAGTTTCACTTTAAAACCAATTGGCAATGTAGGAGTATTACAATTACTTACAAGCACATGCAAGGTCTCCCGATGTGGGATTCACTCTCAACACGTCCCCTCACGTGTGTCGAATTGTCAAGCCAACGTGTGGACAACACAAATCGGATGATGTGGAATACGTATGGCCGTTAGGCTTCAAACGTGAGACAACATGCTCTGATATCTTGAAAAAAGTTGGAGTTCCACCATAAAACTAATTGACAATATGAGGAATAGCCAAATTACTTATTTACACAAGCAAGGTCCCTCATTTCTCAGATGTGGGATTCACTCGAAACAGATAAACATGTATATATTTTTGCGTGTGGTCCAATATTTTAGTGGATGGGATGTTGAGCTTCTACCCTGTGTCTCGTGTTCTAAACTTCCACTCTCTAAATTATTGTAATAGTTCCGAACTCTCTCCCTCTACCTAATAATAGTAAAAAAAATAAAAAATAAAAAATAAAAAATTCTTTTACCACACCAGAGTCATGAAAAGCATACAATAATACAAACACCATATCTAAATTATTATAATAGTTCCTAACTCTCTCCCTCTCTCCCTCTCTCCAATAATAGTAAAAAAAAAAAAAAAAAATCATCTTTTACCGCAGTCAGTCATGAAAAGCATACAATAATGCAAACACCAGTTTCCTTGTACCAACTGTTGGTTGAATCTGGCCTGGTTGGTAAATCATGCGCCACCAAGTGGGCCTTTTGTATGACCCATTGCTCTGTACAAGCTTTTGATCAAAACAAAAGGAGCTTGTGTTAGAGTGTTGCTTCCATGGAGGACCCTTCTAACTAACTTAACCTAACAGAGCTCCATATAAAACCAAAAGCCATAACTGTTGATATTTTATTGGCAAGCCAATCCATGGCTGCCAAAAATTGTACTAATTAGTACCAATTATAACCTTATATTTGTGTAAGACATTTTATCCAAAATGATCCCTCACGTTTTCATAACTTTTTACTTTGGTCCCTGACAATGAAAATCGATCGAAGTAGCCCCTGAGTTTGTCAGCTGTAAATCATTTTGGTCTTCCACGAAAAATTTGTCAATATCTTCATTAAATAATCACGTAAACGACTACATTACCACCTTTTTAAGGAATAAGGACCAAATTGATTTACAGTGGACAACTCAGAAACCACATCTATCGATTTTTATTGTCAGGGACCAAAATAAGGAGTTATGCCAATCTCATTTTGACTAAAAAGCCTTTATGTAACCACACCGGTATCTTTAAAGGTGGAATAGGAGAGGATCCGAAGAATCAATCAATCGTGCCTGTTCATCGTACATCGTGCGGTTAAAAATTATTTTAAATTTCTAAATTTAAAATTGAATATAAATAGTACTTAACGAAAATTAACCTCATGATATGTAAATGGACATGATTGATTGATTCTCGAATCCCTACAAAGAGAATTAGGAAAGTATCCTTATCGGTAAAACCTTACGTATAATACCCATCTACTTAGACTTAGTAGCGGACACTTGGAGAATTCTTTACCAAACACATCAAGCATAGGGTTCTTTTTGGACGATGATTTTCATGGGTTTCATTTAATGTTCATTGACTAATCTTTGTGGATGGGAAAAAAACCAGATTTATGAACATTAACCCCAAGATTCACATTGTGCAAACAAACAAAAAATAGAAGAAAAAGCAGAGCATGTGATGGTGTGGCAAAACGCACATGGTCATGCTCTCAATTTCTTTGCCTAATTTAGATTGGATTTTGCACCATATGAACCAAACTCTATCAAACACATCTTTCAGCTTCAGCTTGGTAGTTAAGTAACTGGACAGGCAATGACTTGTACTCGTTGATTATTCTGGATTGAGAAACGCTAAAGTGACTTTCTCGAACTTGAGACTCTCTGTGGAATCTTCATGGACTTTTTGTCAACTTATTTTTTGGCATAATTAATGTTTTATAATGT